AAAATGACGATAATATGAGCATCTCGTGTCGCGGTAATGAGACCCGTGGATCGGTCGCGTCTTCCTCGGGTCCGTGTCCCCGATAACCGGGCTGCATCAATCATCCCCCACTTCTGCGGTCTTCTGGCTCCATCCAGTATCCGCCCTCACCATCACTCGGTAATAAAGACGAAACTTTATGTCCCAACGAACTGGTACCGCTTGTGTTCTTTGAAAAAAAAAGTTTCCAGTCGGAGAAATTGATTCGATCTAAGTTTTAGAAAATTACTCATCACACCTTCCGATTTTCATAAAATACTATAATTTTATTGAGTAATACATGAGGTATTTGTAATAGTTCGCTTGTACAATAGATTTCTGTTAGGCTCGATATAAAGTATTTCTTCATCGTGCATTTTTCGCTGCTGTTACATGCCCAAGCTGTAATAATAGAACGAGGTGTTCGTTGAAAGGAACGATTGTATCGTTATTACTTATTAGCAAAGTATGTATCTGGTTCGAAGGTAGATGGAATTTCCTCTGACGTCCTCGAGGCGATGGCGAATCGGCTACGGATGAAAATCAGTAAAGTGAACGAAGGTAATCGCAGTGATTACGTTGTCAGCGATACACGGTGACACGTAATAACGGTAATGAGAGAAAGACACGGCGACTTAAGTTGGATTCGATTACCGGAGGTTTACTTACGTAATCCACTCTGAATGCCAATTGTGCTGCCACATCTATATAAATCTTGTAAATCAGCAAATTGGTGAACGCGCATTGATCAAATTTAACGTTTCTCTCTCGTAACGAATCTCATTTGAATCGATGAAAGGATTTATCGAATGATTGTAGAAATGGAAATAAGAAGTTAGCGAGAATGGTGAAATATTTCCAATACTTATTCTTTACAAAGTAATTACATAAGAAAACGTTAATTCGACTTCCCTTGTATCAAGTTTCGTTTGAACCGATGAGAGAAATTGCGGAATGCATTCAGGAAATATTGGAAATAGAAACAACAAGTAAGTGGAATGTATATTGAATGCAAGGGTTAAGATCTCTCGATACGGAATCGGTTGCACGTTCAATGTAATATTAGAGCCGGCATAGCTCAGTCAGATGTATCATAGCATCGACTTTGCACAATCTAGATCTATCGCAGCTCGAGGGCAGCGTAACTCGGGTTCGATTCAGCGTATCTTGGATCCATAAATCAAATCCCAGCGTGGGCGTTGCGTTAAGTCAATTTCGTCGTAGCGTCTGAAGCTCAACTTGGATTAATTTCGACGTTAAGATAACGTGGGCGTAATGGACAATTCGATTCTTCAATTAGGAGACAGTAAAAAAATTTCTCTGAACATTATATCGGAATTTGAATGACTAATTCACGTATAATAGTCCATTAATAAATGCTAACTTATCGAGAATAGCGTTTCTCTTCTATTTTATTCTGACGAAATGTGTATATGTATAAGGCAAATTCGTATGAGACTGTGCGACATAAATCTTAGATGAGGTCTTATACAAATGGGAACGATTTAGGCTAGCGGCCTGGCCTGCGGATATCTTAATTTCGTGTACATTTACCTGTTCGAAGAAAGGAAAGCACGCGCGCATACTACTTTATCTGACCGCGTGGTCTTGTAGCTAATTTATAAGGCGAGTTAACGACACCGATAGGAGGACCTGTTCACAAATTAAACGTCTCCATCCAGCACTCCGTGCGAGTCTTTCAAACAGAAAGCCAATTTTTCTTTTAACACGACACAGGTTTCCTTCAACAAAAAATTGATATCAATCGGAATATCTTTTTTTTTCTAAAAAAAAATAAGTTAAGATTGACATATCGTGTATGTATTCGGGTTTCGCAGTCACTGTCAGGCGATAACACTAATCTCCTCGGTTCGGTTGGTAATCGTCCGGTTCGAAACTCGATTTCTCGTAAGGGGCAAGAAGCGTAGGGATCTGATAATAAGTTTGTGTAGTACCGTGGCCGTTCCTCTCGCGTGCGTGTCGCGCGAAACGCATTATCACCGCGACAGACTTTCGTAATCTCCGCGCCGCAGCGTTTATACTTTATAACGGGCCGAGTCGCGTCGTTTACCGGGCATGACAAATGGTAATCGCGCTTTGTTCGTCCCTGTTGTCCCTTTATCTCGTCCCTCCCGCGTTATCGCCGTGGCCACGGTGTAATATCATTTCTCCGCCTCCTACGAGTGTCCTTTGCCTGCCTCGTGGCCAAAGGTACGTCCGATTTTCGGACAAATTATTTCCTTACCTTGAAAACGCTGCGATAAATTCGGTTTTACGGAGATTGAATTTTTGGGAAAAGCGAGATGAAATAAAATAAATGTCAGGGAGGATTGAAAGAAGCGACGTACGTATATTTCTCTGTTCATTCAAGTTTATTACGAAATGCTGTTACACGGCTTTTCGGAATCGGAAAATCGCGTAAGTGATGACAATTTCCGCTGTAGGGATTCCTCGACCTCGTAAATCGATGTGTAAGAAGAAGATAAGACGCGATACGCGTTCGTAAATCGGTAGATGAAACGGAGTTACGAGCCCGAGACAAGATTCCGCGACATTCTTTTTCAAAAGGCGTCGTAAAACTTCGGATTCTGTTTTTATCATTGTCGTGCCGGAGAGAAGAAATCCTTTATCTACACGGATAATTGGCGTAAAGGGGCGTTTAAAAACGCGGCGTGTAAATCGATCGTTTCGCACTTCGAAATGGGCCTGGTCCTTTCCGTTTTCTTATTGGGACTGGTTCGGGCTCCGGGCCAGGCCTAAAACGTTCTATCTTCGGGAGGAAGGGACACGATTAGTATAAGGCATTCGCGTTATCTTAACAGGGAACGGGTACTCGCTCGTAGCAGGGTACCCTCGGTCCTAATCTCGCCTAATCATGGCTCTATTTAGATCCACGCTGGCCAGACTGACTCCTTTAAGAGGGTATCCGTGTCCGACTCGACCGCGCTCGGTTTACGACCGTTTAATCGTTCGAAATTTGTTGCCGACCACTAAAAAACGTCCTCAACCATTTTTCTATTCCTGTCACTTCCTCAAACCGTCCTGGAATTTGTCACTCCCAGGGAAACGCTAAAATCTCATTTAAGATTAGCTTGCAAATTCGTAGAACTGTCTGCTAACAGAATTCTTTTTTTATACTTCGAGATTCTTATAACAACTTATTTCTAAAAGAGTCACTGACACGAACTGTGTCAAATGATTCATAACATTGATCGTGTCTAAAAATTTAACAAATCGCATAATGGTTTAATTAGTATCATATTGGATAAATTTTAACTCTTGATCGTAACGGATTAGATTTGGACGATCGATTTCGGCTAGCTCGCCGCAATAAAATGAAGGGAACCCGCGTGTTTCCGATGGCTGTTTCACCCTCGTTGGCTCGCGGCCTGATTGCCCCGTCATTTCGTTTCGATCCCTCGATCGGATCCCTGCGTCTACGTGTATCACCGGATATCCATTGAACGACTGATTACGATCGTTTCGCAGTTATCGCAGCAATAAAAATCATGCTCTCCTCTTGACTATCAATTCGGACTGAAATTGCTACGCTCCCGCTTCGCCGCGCGCCGCGCCGCTCTCTGTCCGCCGGGATGGATAATGTACTTCCATCATTAACGTCACTACTGATACTTCATGATCGCTACGAACAGGCCAATTACTCATACCACTCGGCATCGCGAACCGTGCCTCCTATCATTGACAATCATTCTCGCCGCTATACGCGCTTCTTTCCCGTTCAAGGAATCTTCTTTACGCCTCGACTATTTCTATTAACCGGGAAAAATCTCAGCGCGAAAAACAAATATACCGCGAGTACCGTTGCGCATAGAATTAAAAGAAAACAAATGATAAATGAATTTTCTTCCGATTCCCGAACGATCATTACCATCGAACGTTTTGTTCGAAGGGCAAACCAATTTCTCGACACGATTAAATCTACAACGAGTTCGAAATTGAAGAGCGCGCGGTCTACGTATTTGGAAAAGGGTCGAGACTGCACGATCAACCGTTAGCTCCGTGAAAAATTAATACTTGCGATGCAACCCTTAACCACAGCCACCGAGCTATCGTCTCGATCGCTGGATCCGCGGAGCAAAATCGTAATTACGTCGATTGCGCCGGCTGCCCGTCATTAAACCGAATTTAAAGATCGGTATACATTCTGCGTTTACAGGTCGACCGGTGATGCCGTAATTGAGAAATTAATAACGACAAGCTTATGTACATGCCAGACTAAATCTGGGAGCAATTGCACATTTTATATTAAGGAATATAGGACAGAGCTTCGTTATGAAAGCATGCCAGTGTAAATCTGGGAGCAATTGCACACTTTGAATGCAGCCCTTCGATGCAATATAGGACGAAGCCTTTATAAAAGTACAAAGGATGAGGGAAATTGAAAAGGAAGGGGAATGGGATGACATTAAAATTAATAACATTTCAGCCGTGCGTTATCGTCGTTATTACGGCTCGGCGCGACGGGGCAGGTGGTGGCTTCGTAGTTACGGTAGTTTGATTTCGCGTGACTGCTCGATATTGAACTGGACACCGCAAATACAAAGCGTAGCTGCATACGTATGTATGTACGTACAGCACGTATGCCCTGGCCGATGCTTTCTATGCATAGTCTACTACCGAGATTGTCTGGATATATTCGAATACTAATTCGATTCGATGCTCGTCGATCCGTCGCTGCTCCGAGATTGCCCCCCGACGGATATTGGAATCTGTGCACGAGATACGTTACATCTACCTCTCGATATCACGCAAATTATTATTATAACGCTTCTTTCTCATCGCCCGGAATTATATGTAGCATCAAATATGAAGTAAGAGAGACGAGCACGGAATGAACTATGAAGATAAAATATATTGTCAAACCTTAAATGAAGCAACACTAATCAGGATTATTTAACTAGCGAAATCTCATTTCACTACTGATAACGTTTGATTCATTCATTATTGATACTTTTGCGCAGGAGGACGTTTTAAAGGACTACCAATCATGTATTACGTGACGTTCCGGGTGAACAAGTGGTGAAATATGGTAAGTAGTTTTGTGATAAAATCTGATTGCGAGTAACAATCGCGGTTAGATTTCGTCCAACTAGTAAGTGAAATCGCCGTGACCTTTGCGTTTTTAATCGGATTGCCGTATGCGGAATCGCGCGATTATCGTTCACAGAAATCTTCCGCATTCTCGCAGTTATTCAATCGGGAGAAAGGGAATTCAAGGCGAATTGTGAAAATATGGAAATGTGCAATCCTTCTCCTCGAAGAATTTCCTATTCAATGACTGTTCCGTACATAATAAAGTTCGATTTTAATACATATAAGATATTGGCATATTTCGATGTAATTGAGTGTTAAATATTCTTTGTAATAAAATAAATGAAATGAAGCAACTTTTGTTCCAACATGAATGTCGGATTTAACAATTCGTGAAGTGACGTCTGAATGCATTGACAATGTTGCCGAATGATTAAATGATAATATTGGTAATTAGAATTTTTACTTGGAGGAGCATAGCGACGCGGATAATAGTCTGTAAAGTAGGAAAGTAGTTGCGGGGTCGGTGATGAGAAGCTCGTGGCAATTACCGGTGTCTCGCGTCGACGGAATATAAAAGAGAGAGCGAGGCGCGGATTACTCTCGTCGCCGAAAGCGCGACGCTTTGAATCCATAATCGCGGAGGGGGAAGGACGTCTGAGGCTTCGACGGCATTAAAATCGTGTTCGCGCGAACAATCAACGCGTTTCTCTTCCCTCCGGCCTTTGAGGGAAACAGAGCTGTTGATATCAAGCCGCTTTGAGCGCGTTGCGAGGAGTTCGTCGCATGAATTTTAAGCGACTCGCGGAATCGCTCGCGAATCACCGGTTTCCGCGAGAAATCGTAGAAAACTAATTTCGTTTTCGCCCCCGCGAACGTCATTTGCATATATGTAGCCACGTATACGAAATGAAAGGGAACATACAAAGAGCCTGCCGTGCGAAAACTTTTTTAAGGACCGTCTTCGACTATTTAGATGAAAGAGCTCTGTGGTACACAGAATTTAGAGCGGTAATTTAAAAAATGTTGATGCTAAAATATGTTTATACTTGTGAACTTTTGTTAACGCTCTTTCGTGCGATCGATCTACTAATTAAGGGCGAATTGCCAGGTGCTAATGCCAATCGTTGGCCGACGAAATTAGCGGTAGCGTGTCTGAGATACAGTCGACAGAAAACTAACGAGAACCGAGGGCCTGTCATAACCACCTTTCATCGATGCCTCTCAGCGAGCCCTTTCCGTGACCGTGAAATTTTCGCTCGACGAAATTCGCCGAGTGTGAAACTATTTTTGTTCTCTAGAAATCGCAACGCCACGGAATCGCGTGACGCGCTGCGAAATTGCCAAATGCGTGGACAAATAGATAAAAGTATTCAAACATTATAAAATCGCGTGATCTCCGTTCTTCTTTACTCGCGGGATCAAGTATTGAGTTTGTAATCTTGAGATTTCGTTAAACATTCATTGGATCGATGAATCATTTATAATATAATTTATAATCATCCATTATAAATGAGGATGCACATGCCGCGTCAGATCACGTATTGCCTGATTTTGATGCACAAAAGCAAACATAATTCTAGAGTATCTCGGAAATGAAACAATTTACAAAGCCCCGACGACAATGTACGGGATTCAATTGTAGTTCGCAGATACTCCGAGCACGTGCAAGCGTGGCCCCTCTAATTTCGCGTGTTACCGAAAGACAGTTGCGAGATCCGTAGCTATAGAGAATCGCGTTGCGGTTCCCCAGGGGCCGTCATATGTCTCGGAAGTCCGGTGTTCTTTCTACTCGCTTTTGAAATTCGCTAGCCGAGGAAATCACAGGATCGGTGTGGTCGATGACGCCTCGAGCGGAATGCACTATAAAATAAAACCCCGGCAGCTGGCCAGATCACGAAACCGTGTTGGGAAACGGAGTGCATGCGCGTGCATAATGCGGCTCGCTCGCGGCATATGGACGAGCGGAACGGAACGCGCCGCGCACCGAACAACAGTTTCGCGGTTTCACGATTTTGCGTCGAGATTAGCGGTCGATTCTTCCGTTCGTGACTGCCTCCCCGTTCGGAGGAAGCTAAATTGTCCGGTCCTTGAACGGAAATTGCTCCGGGAGTCATTATAATACAGATGTCGAGTCGTGATGATAACTGAGCTTCGGAGCCACTTGCCCCAGGCATCGCACTCTACTATATTTTTCATTTATTGCAAGGCTTTACAGTTTAAATCGTGGACATAAGAGAGTAGACCGAGCGTCCAATGTATTTTTGTTAATCCTGTGAAAAATAAAAAAAGACATGCTATAGAGGATTTCCTGCTTCTCTTTCGCATGTCAATAGAAAAAAGAAATATGTTCTTCTATTAATTTCCTTTCTGTTAGTCGCCTAATCTCAAGTCTCCTATTTAGGCGCTCGGTCTATTTCTATATATATAAAAATAAAAAATTCTATGACATAAAGAATTCTATGACATGTTCTGGATGTTCGCCCAGTGCGAAGAAAACGCTGAGATACGCCGTCCGGGAATACCAAGAGCGTCATCCCAATCGAGTCGCGCCTACCGCGCAATCGTTCAGGCGATTGTCAGATGTATCTATGATTTAAAGGTGCTAAAGAAGAATCATGATTCGATTCTCTGTTATTTCATATGCTAAAATTATTTCGTCTGGTGAATTGAAATTTCGTCAAAATTGCGACCGGACCCAAAGGAAATTTTCCTAGAGCCGATTCCCAGGCGATTGAACGGTAGGATCATCGTAGGTTGGTCCTTTTGAAGTGGAAACTGACGTCGCGGCAGCGTCCGGCTACGCGCGACTCGTGCCTTTCGACAAACGGGAATAAAATATACATGGATCTCTTTTTCGGAAATATTCAAATCTCCAGTCTTCGGATCAAATAACCGACGGGGCGACAAGGTATCGGGTCGCGACGCGTTGGCCCCGAGGTGGTCTCAGGCCATGAATATCATGACTGACCAAATTCCGTTCCCATACCAGTCACGTTCTGACGATTCCCGTAAGGTGCGGTCCGCAGAGTCGGTTTCCGGAAATCAGGCTATCGAGTTTCGCGCCCGCGCCTGCTCCAGCGCTAGATCCCGGCTTCCGTTTGGATACCGGCCGCCGTGATACATTTCAAACAGAACGGGTTAACGCGCGCGCCCGTCGAACGTTTCGATTACCATTAATTTGTCTTCCGGTATTAACCCGTCCGCCTGCGATGATTAATTTTATCGATCACGATTCGACATTCGATATTCAACGAGTATGACCAGCGCTACTGTTTTAATAATGAATGCATAGTGTCCACGAATGCAATTTAATTTTTTTATACAGTATTAAGATTAGACAGTAACATTTTCAAAGCCAATTTCACGACTGGACAGAAGCTAGAGAGAACTGTTTTAAAACGTGCAGTCGACGTTGAATTAAGAAACATTCATTCCTAATTGTTGGATACGCAGTTCTTAGCATTAACGTAGGAAACCACGATCATTCCGCTAGGATAAATTGGCAATAACTGTCACGTTTAGAACTCGTAAAGTCGTTAGTTTCTCAACTTAATATGTATGGGATAGTCGGACCCTTCACTCTGCTATTCAAACGATTACACAAGTGGATATTAAGGAAGTATTGGAAACAGATTAAAATCGAACTTTGCTACTATCGTAAAAAGAGACATTGATAAATATGAAGTAATGTCAGTATTGCATTCGATTGAACATCTAACAGTAAAACTCTACAGACGATGTAAGAAGTCGGCAAAGTTTCTTTAGACAAAGCAATAATAGAATATTAGTTTATTTGCCCCGTGTTGAACTTCCGCTAACAGAACTGATTGACGTTGATTGTCATAACTGGTTTGTTAATAGGATTCGTCCATGTCGAGTTTAGCATAGAATGGACTGTTCATTTTTTCTTCAAAATCGTAGCAAGTCGGGCACCGCGAATGATTGATCGATTTTCAGTCGGCCGGTTTTTTCTAGAATGAAATAAGCGACACGTAGATAGCAAATACCTTATGCTGGCCGCTTACATTGACGTCCAATATGTATATGAACATTTGAAGAATAAAGCGTATCAATTATCGTTTGTTATTGTTACAATTGTATTTATTTTCATTGTTTGTCTGTTACCAATAATTAATTAATAAATAAAATTGTTTGCAATAAAGAAACTCTTTTCTTCATCCTAGCAAAAAATGTTTCAGACAATAGTTGTATCTCCAGTTGTCAGCTATAAATGTTACCGACTGTGTTTTGAGCCTCATTGGGCCCCACTCGCAGTCCCAACTGCTTTAATTTGTGTAAAAAATCAATTTTTTATTTTTGTACACTATAATAATATGAATTAAACTAAGATTTTGGAAATTCTTATTATTCATTCCTAGTTCTATAGATAGCAGAACTTATGCAAATAAGTCTATGTGCAAAACGCTGCGTGATCGGTTGCGGCCGGAAGTTGTTTGGTCGCGCTGCCGTTATTATCTCTGCTCCAATTTTCGTCTCCTAGTAACGACGGAGGAACGATTAGTCACGAGCTTAACGCGTTTACGTGACCGTCGCAATGGAAATTTCCGATAAAACGGCGAAAACGGGCAGAAAGAAATGCGACCGCCGGCTACGTCTCATTTTTCTTGAACACCGGCTCCTAAGGTGAGCGCACAGCAAGCAGAACGACTGATCAGCAATTTGAAATTCATTTGATCGATTTATAACATGACGATTCGATTTATAACATGAATAATAGACTTGAACAAGTTTAATTCGTGCATCTAAGACATGTAGGACTTGAAATTCTGATCTAATTTTTAGACTACAAGGATGAAAGAGAAATTTGGCTGTGTACTTACCCTTAGATACAGGAAACGCGATAAAATGGTCGCTTGCACGCTAAGCAAGCCAATGTTCCACTTGCAATCACCGTTTGTTTAAATATACAACCAGCAATTGGAATACAAACAGTTTCGTTCAATTACGTTCAACGAACTGATTTAGATACTGTAAATATGATGTACTTTCATATAAAATATGAAATTATTAGTCAGTTAGGAATTAATTTGTCTAACGAATTTGTAAAACGAGATATAGAATTTCTCACAGCATTCGTAAAAATTAGTGATCCTTCATTTCTTCACGAGCTCTATCGGTATAATATGTGTACGGAAGGTGATTTCACGGGTCTTAACCCCGGACGTTTTTCGTTTTCTGTCTGGGAAGGGGATCCGTAGTCGGTTTTAGAGGGTTTTTAAAACGAACGCGAATCTCAACCCCGTGACGAGGTTGTTCGCACCAGGT